CATATTTAATATGCTGCTTATCACCTGCCATATTTAATATGCTGCTTGTCACCAGCCAGTGAGATGTTTGGTTTTGGAAGAGCAGGGTCCAGCTTTAACAAGTCCATCCATCCATCATCTTTACCCGCTTCTTCCTTTCTGGGTTGCAGGTCTCACTGGTGTCCACACCCAACAGTCACTGTGCAAGAGGTGGGGGACACCTTGGACAGGTCTCCAGTCCATCACAGGGATGCATGGAGACAAACGAGACAAACGACCATTCACTCTCTCTCTCACCTAGGGTAGAGCTGTCATTGGGTCAGGCCATAATAATGTGCTGGATGGGCGGGGCGGTGTTGGGCTCTTGAATGCATCAGCGGACGCTTGCGGCTGATGATCCAATTATATGGCAACATGGCTTGCCATACAATCACCAGCCCCACGCGGCTATTTGACCGTGCGCTGACCGGCCTTAAAAAAGGTAAAATGAAAGTTCAGTCCAGCTTCAGATGGACTATACAGCCAGCGATCCGTCAAAGCCCAAAGGGACATTCAGCCGTTGCAGTCAGTGGATGCACGCGGCCGATGATCCAAACAGATGATCAATAGGCTTAAAAATTTGAATAAATCAACAATTACATTGGACTAACCGGTGTACTTTGGTTTCTAAGCACAGTATACCCGCTTCAAAAATGTAGACTACACCACTGTGATGCACCCACACCTGCCTCCACCCTCATTTGCCCCACCTTGGGCCCTTGAGCAAGGCCCTTAACCCCCACCATCGGCTCCCCCGGGCGCCCCAGACGGCAGCTCCCTGAAAGAAGAAGGTTTGCACCGTAGATATTTCTTAGAGCTGGACGCAACAGAAGATCCTGAGAGTTGAGGCCGTTAGACGTACCAGATGATCCGACCAGTAGTTTTAAGTCGTGCCCTCGTAAACAAATGGGACTTTGCACCTCTAACAAAACAAACCCAATACTTTTTTCATGTTTTTACATTTAATAACTGATTATGATTGTGGGAAGAAGGCAGGACTCAAAGCCCCACAAGTTCCCATGAACCGGATCCTGCTGGCTCCAACTGTGAAGACGTTTGATGTATTATAATAAATGTCAATGTTTTGCACCAGCACACCATTTTTTATTTTCTGTTCGAAAGAGCAAAAAGTGGGATGGATGAAGCAAACGTTGGAACCAAAGCAAGACACTGCTGATTTTTAGTAAATCAGACTCGGTTTCTTCCTCGTCTTGTTTTCAGTTCCTTCACGTCTTCTTGGTTCGTCTCTTTTCTTCCTGCCTCCTGTGGTGTTTCTCTTTGAAACCTGTCCCTGATTTCAGTTTTGTTTTGTCTCAACCTTTTATCATAAAACAGAAAGTATAAGAACAGGAGTATCGCCCCTTTACGTCCTTCATCCTGATTACGTCGTCCCCTCCCTTCGTGTCTTACCTCCAACCTTCCTCCTCCACTCCATTTTATATCTTTTTCAACAATAATGATGACTCATGCCTTCCCCTGTTGCTCCTGTGCGTTGCCATGGTGACACCCCCAGATGTAATTGGCTTCTTCTAGGTGGCGGTAGGTGACTGGGGAGACGGAGACAGCCAACTCACCAGAAGCCAAAAGCTGATGTCACCATGTCTGGATGTCTAATACTTTAGCTCGCCTGACACAAACACAAAAAGAGACGAAGGTTTGTTCGTTCAGCTCTCGTACCACCAAACACTGACTCAGCTTCTCTGCCTTCAGCAGCCTCCTCCATACACAAGATGACCCTCTCTGCAGAGGGGTGCCAAACCTTAATCCTTCATGACAAACACTTTCTTCAGGCTTTTAGCTACAGAAGTTTTTAAGAGGCGATATTACAATAGATTTAATCCCAAGAAAGGTTTCTCAGGATTAATACTGACGACAATAAGTAAATGAAAAGAGGATTAGAAATTTCTGATTTGTGCTAGTGAAGCAAAAAAGAAAATAAATATATACATGGGCCTATAAGGACCTATAAATAAAACAACTTGTTACTTTATTTACTCGTTTTCTTACAACAATTTGTAAGAAAACCAAGAGGCAGGGAAATGTGCTCGAAGAAATCAGAACAAGCTTCATTATCATTGTACCGAGATACAGTTAGATTATGATCGTAGTCGTCCGAAACATGGGCGGAGTGCACGGTGATGCTGCTACAAGAGCGTGGCCTCTTCTACTTTATCAGAATACTTTTTAGAAAGAGGCCATGAGGATGGATAGTGGTATTACAAAAAAGATCTCTTCGCATCTTGTTTTATCAGGACACGGTTTTTGAGGCATCAAAAAACTCTACCAGCAAACACATTTATAAACACAACACATGCATTTGATGTCGAGACGCTGAGATTTGTCCACGAAGCACTTTCAGATGGGCCATAGTCCTGATGATGATGATGTTTTTCAGCCAGCAGTTCAGATAAGCCTGCACAGAAGTTCTTGGGGGGGGGGGGGGGGGGGGGGGGGGTGCGATAGATGAAGCTTTTTCCGTAGTTTACCGTGTCCCAGGAGAAATTTGATAGCCGGCCCGCATCCGAGGCCAAACGGGGGGCGAGTCACATTCAGATAAGCCACAAATGTTGATTTTCTTCAGAATGAAGAAGTCTTTTGGATGAAAGACGAAACGTTTCTAGATTCTTTTGTTTTGTTTTGATTTTTGAATGTCCAGAGGACCAGACTTGACTTTTTTAGACTTCAGGCAGACTGTTTTTTTCTTGTCAGCCTTGAGTCCTGCTGGACCTTTCCAGATCCAAAATGGCCAGATTTATGGGCATTGCACTGATCCGTGCTATGAGCCTTCCTCAAGGTCGGTCCCAACATGCTTTCGAATCCTAGAAGCCGCAGGTGGCCTGCTATTCTCACAAATCGCTTCCATCTCATGGTTTAGCTCATAAATCAGCTGATTTTGAGTGCTCATAGCACAAATTAAACCTTTACACAGACTTGGCAGTTTCGTCATGACCGAAACATCTGCCGATGTCTTCTTCAAAAGTTGATAACAT